GTTGTTGTTAAAGATTTAGCTATTCAGGACGGAGTGTCCATGTAGCACGGGCTATGGTGAGCCCGTAATTGAGTTTGGTTATACATGATAACCTTTTTCCTGTGATATTTAGGTCTAAGTTTAAAATGGAGGAGAGGACTTCTCCTTTTTCCCTGCTTATTTGTCGCTTCTGTTTTATTGCACTGGTTTTAATCTTGTTTTATTAACATTATCTTGGTGGCGGATGTAGATGCAGAATGCTCACTAATGAGTCCCATTCCTCAACAGCTTTTCTAATCATTGTAGTCGCGGTGGAATGTGCATCTAATGCAGCTGCTGTCGTTGGATTAATGTTGAGTTTGATGCGCAGGGGTTCAGTAGCTTCACATTCCCCCCGCAAGCACAACTAGGTGAATATATATGTTGGTCCAGGGCAGGAGAGGTGGTGGGAGAGTGGAGCAGCCATCTGGTCTTTACTACTGAAGGACAAGTTAAAGGGATAGATCCACATCCCTGGAGTGGCTGACCTTGAGCGCCCAAGGTCTCTCTTCCTCTGGCACACGCCCGCGCGCGCGCGCGCGTGTGTGTGTGTGGGGGTTGAGCTCTGGCTCTTTTTGGTCCTGCCTTTCAACTGTCAATCAACTGGTGTACAGATTCCTGAACCTACTGGGCTCTATCATATCTACATTTAAAACTGTGTATGGAGTCAGCCTCCACCACATAACTGCCTAATGCATTCAATCTGTTAACTACTCTTGACACAAAGTTCTTTCTAATGTCCCTGTGGCTCATGTGGGTAATCAGTTTCCACCTGTGTCCCCTTGTTCGCGTCCCACCAGTGTTGAATAGTTTATCCTTGTCTACCCTGTCAATACCCCTGAGGATTTTGTAGTGATCATGTCTCCCCTCACTCTTCTGTGTTCCAGTGTCGTAAGGTGCATCTCTCGCAGCCTTTCCTCGTAACTCATGCCTCTTAGCTCCGGGACTAGTCTAGTGGCCTACCTCTGAACTTTTTCCAGCTTCGTCTTGTGCTTGACAAGGTACGGGCTTCATGCTGGGGCCGCATACTCCAGGATTGGTCTTACATATGTGGTGTACAAGTTACAACCCTCACAACTACCGGTGGTGGTACTACCACCCTTGCCATAGTCATCAACTTCTCACTACCACCCTTGCCATAGTCATCAACTTCTCACTACCACCCTTGCCATAGTCTTCAACTTCTCACTACCACCCTTGCCATAGTCATCAACTTCTCACTACCACCCTTGCCATAGTCTTCAACTTCTCACTACCACCCTTGCCATAGTCATCAACTTCTCACTACCACCCTTGCCATAGTCTTCAACTTCTCACTACCACCCTTGCCATAGTCATCAACTTCTCACTACCACCCTTGCCATAGTCTTCAACTTCTCACTACCACCCTTGCCATAGTCTTCAACTTCTCACTACCACCCTTGCCATAGTCTTCAACTCACCCTTGCCATAGTCTTCAACTCACCCTTGCCATAGTCTTCAACTCACCCTTGCCATAGTCTTCAACTCACCCTTGCCATAGTCTTCAACTCACCCTTGCCATAGTCTTCAACTCACCCTTGCCATAGTCTTCAACTTCTCACTACTACCCTTGCCATAGTCATCAACTTCTCACTACCACCCTTGCCATAGTCATCAACTTCTCACTACCACCCTTGCCATAGTCATCAACTTCTCACTACCACCCTTGCCATAGTCATCAACTTCTCACTACCACCCTTGCCATAGTCATCAACTTCTCACTACCACCCTTGCCATAGTCATCAACTTCTCACTACCACCCTTGCCATAGTCATCAACTTCTCACTACCACCCTTGCCATAGTCATCAACTTCTCACTACCACCCTTGCCATAGTCATCAACTTCTCACTACCACCCTTGCCATAGTCATCAACTTCTCACTACCACCCTTGCCATAGTCATCAACTTCTCACTACCACCCTTGCCATAGTCATCAACTTCTCACTACCACCCTTGCCATAGTCATCAACTTCTCACTACCACCCTTGCCATAGTCATCAACTTCTCACTACCACCCTTGCCATAGTCATCAACTTCTCACTACCACCCTTGCCATAGTCATCAACTTCTCACTACCACCCTTGCCATAGTCATCAACTTCTCACTACCACCCTTGCCATAGTCATCAACTTCTCACTACCACCCTTGCCATAGTCATCAACTTCTCACTACTAATGTTAAACCCTGCTGACACTGGACAGTGACAGTGGGTCGCTACACACAAGAACGGCGCCTCAATAATGAACTATAGACCGGTATCGTTAACATATATTCCCTGTGAGATATTAGACTGATTACAAGAACGCTCGTAGAACATTTAGAACATATAACAGTTATTGCAAGCATCAACATTGGATTCAACTAAGGGAAATCCTGCTTGACTCTTATAATCCTGCTTATTAGTGTTCTATGACAAGATAACAATAAGCAAACTTGAGAGAGAGAGAGGTCTGGGCAGACTGCATTTTTCTGGATTACCAGAAAGCTTTTGACATTGTCTTAACAAGCGGCTGTTATAGAGGAGAGAGTAGGGAAGGTGGTGAACGGTAGGGAAGGTGGTGAAGGATAGGGAAGGTGGTGAAGGGTAGGGAAGGTGGTGAAGGGTAGGGAAGGTGGTGAAGGGTAGGGAAGGTGGTGAATGGTAGGGAAGGTGGTGAAGGGTAGGGAAGGTGGTGAAGGATAGGGAAGGTGGTGAAGGGTAGGGAAGGTGGTGAAGGGTAGGGAAGGTGGTGAAGGGTAGGGAAGGTGGTGAAGGATAGGGAAGGTGGTGAAGGATAGGGAAGGTGGTGAAGGATAGGGAAGGTGGTGAAGGATAGGGAAGGTGGTGAAGGGTAGGGAAGGTGGTGAAGGGTAGGGAAGGTGGTGAAGGGTAGGGAAGGTGGTGAAGGGTAGGGAAGGTGGTGAAGGGTAAGGAAGGTGGTGAAGGGTAGGGAAGGTGGTGAAGGGTGAGGAAGGTGGTGAAGGGTAGGGAAGGTGGTGAAGGGTAGGGAAGGTGGTGAAGGGCAGGGAAGGTGGTGAAGGGCAGGGAAGGTGGTGAAGGGTAGGGAAGGTGGTGAAGGGTAGGGAAGGTGGTGAAGGGTAGGTAAGGTGGTGAAGGGTAGGGAAGGTGGTGAAGGGTAGGGAAGGTGGTGAAGGGTAGGGAAGGTGGTGAAAGGTGAGGAAGGTGGTGAAGGGTAGGGAAGGTGGTGAAGGGTAGGGAAGGTGGTGAAGGGTAGGGAAGGTGGTGAAGGGCAGGGAAGGTGGTGAAGGGCAGGGAAGGTGGTGAAGGGTAGGGAAGGTGGTGAAGGGCAGGGAAGGTGGTGAAGGGCAGGGAAGGTGGTGAAGGGTGAGGAAGGTGGTGAAGGGTGAGGAAGGTGGTGAAGGGTAGGGAAGGTGGTGAAGGGTAGGGAAGGTGGTGAAGGGTAGGGAAGGTGGTGAAGGGTAGGGAAGGTGGTGAAGGGTAGGGAAGGTGGTGAAGGGTGAGGAAGGTGGTGAAGGGTGAGGAAGGTGAAGGGTAGGGAAGGTGGTGAAGGGTAGGGAAGGTGGTGAAGGGCAGGGAAGGTGGTGAAGGGCAGGGAAGGTGGTGAAGGGTAGGGAAGGTGGTGAAGGGTAGGGAAGGTGGTGAAGGGTAGGGAAGGTGGTGAAGGGTGAGGAAGGTGGTGAAGGGTGAGGAAGGTGGTGAAGGGTAGGGAAGGTGGTGAAGGGTAGGGAAGGTGGTGAAGGGCAGGGAAGGTGGTGAAGGGCAGGGAAGGTGGTGAAGGGTAGGGAAGGTGGTGAAGGGTAGGGAAGGTGGTGAAGGGTAGCGAAGGTGGTGAAGGGTAGGGAAGGTGGTGAAGGGCAGGGAAGGTGGTGAAGGGTAGGGAAGGTGGTGAAGGGTAGGGAAGGTGGTGAAGGGTAGGGAAGGTGGTGAAGGGTAGGGAAGGTGGTGAAGGGTAGGGAAGGTGGTGAAGGGTAGGGAAGGTGGTGAAGGGTAGGGAAGGTGGTGAAGGGTAGGGAAGGTGGTGAAGGGTGAGGAAGGTGGTGAAGGGGTAATATAATGTTACAGTGTTTGTTAGTATCATACAGGTAACTTAAGGCAGTGTGTGTGTTGAGTGAGAGAATAACGCAGAACACAAGTATTGTAGTTCTTTGTGTGGAGGTGTTGAGTGTGGCGTGAGGCGAGGCCCGTGTTGTGGGGCACTCCGGTCTGCTGTTGTGGTAACCAACAGGGTGCTGTGTGTACCTGTGTCCTCATTGTTATTACTGTGTGTACCTGTGTCCTCTATGTTAGTACTGTGTGTACCTGTGTCCTCTATGTTATTACTGTGTATACCTGTGTCCTCTATGTTATTACTGTGTGTACCTGTGTCCTCTATGTTGGTACTGTGTGTACCTGTGTCCTCTATGTTAGTACTGTGTGTACCTGTGTCCTCTATGTTGGTACTGTGTGTACCTGTGTCCTCTATGTTAGTACTGTGTGTACCTGTGTCCTCTATGTTAGTACTGTGTGTACCTGTGTCCTCTATGTTATTACTGTGTGTACCTGTGTGTACCTGTGTCCTCTATGTTATTACTGTGTGTACCTGTGTCCTCTATGTTATTACTGTGTGTACCTGTGTTCTCTATGTTGGTACTGTGTGTACCTGTGTCCTCTATGTTATTACTGTGTGTAGCCATGTCCTAAGATATTCCTAACATCCTAGCATACCAGTAATGTATTTTAATTATTAATTAAACTGTCAAAGGCAGAGTGGACATTACGGTAGATATGTGCATGTGAGGTGCTGTACACTGTATCACACAGTACACTGTGTGTGTGTGGGGCACAGTTGGGTGAGGGAGGACCTCACCCATACCGTTGGTCCACACGGTATGTCACAGTATGCCAGGTATACTGAGCCACACGGTACGTGTAAGGTACATTGATCTGGCCTAAAATGAGGTGACCTGGACTAGAATGAGGTGACGTGGAGAGCAGTGAGAAGTGAGGGAGAGAGCTTACCAATGAGGAGGCCGACGGTGGAGAGGAGTGAGGGGAGCCATGAGGTGTGGTAGGCGGAGGCTTCGGGGAAGGAGTTGCGGATCTCGATGTAGAGGACGCCGTAGCTCTTGGTGACTCCGACGATCCACAGGTTGATGAAACAAGCGGAGAAGGCCACTACCCAGCCGTACCCTCCGTCAGGGGGGGTGAACTCCATGGCGGTCAACCCCCCCTTCTTCTCGTCCCCGACAGGCACCAGGCGGGGGCCCACCACCGACTGGCGGGGGCTTGTCGTCTTGTCGTCGCGGGGCGAGAAGTTGTCGTCGCCGCCGATGTAGAAGGACGCGACTTTATCCGTGAAGGATTGTCCGGGTTCGTCGGAGACGCCGGAGCCGATGGAACCGGTTTCGCCGGCTTCCGGCGCCTCCAAAACCGGCTGTAGACGCACGACGGACATGAGGCGGTCGTTGGAGGGGACTATGGAGCTGAGGTCGGCCACCGTGTGCCTCTCAGCGACGTCCTCAGAGTTAGCACTGACACTCATACCTACTCCCAGGGCCACGTTGAGCGCCGCCACCTCGTTCTCGCTGAGAGCCACGTCCTCGTCCGACCATCCGTCCGTGTTGGAGACGGCGGGGCTACTGGCAACCTTCTCCATGCTCATTAGGCTTCCCGCGCTGCTCACACCTCGCGTGTCACGGTACCCGCTCGCGGTCACACCACTCGCGCCTCCTCGCCTCGATCACACAAATATTATAGCCACGAATATCAATACTAAATTGGTTTGTAAAAAAATATGTACTATGTTATAGCACCTGACTTGTGTTTAAGACAGTGAGTGTTAACTTATGCTAAGTTATCACGGTGGAGGCGACGACGTCACGGGGCAGCAGAGGTGCTCGTCTGGCACGTCGTAACACCTTCAGGTATAAAAATATCCATGTGTGTAAAACAGCAGTCGTGGAGTAACACCGGTGAGCGACCAGACACAGTCCGTCTTCTTGTTCCATTCCTCAAGCGTCGAGGATCAGCATGGACGCACAGCACGAAGTCTCTCAGCAGTGCGTCGCCACGCACGTCTGTAGCTCATGACCAGACGTGTGGGATATGAGGCGACGTGACCAGACGCGTGAGGATCACAGGAGACGTGAGGGTACTGTGACGATGCCCGCCCGACATCGGTCCAGCCTCATTGACACTTCCCGCTCCCACGGACGACAACCGCCCACTGATTCATGTCTTCCCGCTCCTCCTGGTATATACCGGCCGGTGACCGCACGCCCGCCTGCGCACTCCACCTTATCCTCGGCCGTGTCCTTCCCTCCTCAACCTGCAAGTTTTCCAGGTGTCTTGACCATCGGAGCGCCGCCAGGGTCACGTGAGAGGTCAAGACAGCTGAAGCAGGTATCCGCGCCCACCCTGGCACTTGACACCGGAGATAATTGAGAACGTGGGATTTCGTCATGGAGGTTTCCCAGTGTGGAGGCATCAGCTGAGCGATCAATACTTCCCCTTGCCAACCACCTGGGAACTTTCCTCTCCTGCTCACCTCATGCAGCAGGACATCCTGTAGCAGGGACTGGAGACCTGCTCCTGGGGACACCAGTTTCACTTCACCAGCAGAAGGGCATCCTGTAATAGGGACTAAAGACCTGCTTCTGTGGACACCAGTAACATTTCACCAGCAGCAGCCTGGGCATCCTATAACAGGGACTGGAAGACCTGCTCCTGTGGACACCAAAAATGAAATACAGTAAATCGTGTTTATCTGACAGCATTTAGCGTTCGTTGTGTTCGGGTGACTGAGATCCTGTTTATCTTAAGAGGAACGCCTGTACACCCCCTCCCCAGCTCTATATCACTAGTGAAATAGTAATATTTTCCTGTGGCGTCATTTGATGGCACATCAATCCCCCTTCTGTTGTGATAGGTCACAACGGCAACTTCGACACATAAGCCACTGTTGTCATGTTAGCTCATTACACAGAAATCCTCGTTTGTAGTCTCATATGGTGGTAATTGACGTGAGAAATTACCTGAAAGATGTCTACACTGTTTTGGAAGAGGATGCCATAGATCCTGCTGTGATATATATATATGTTGTACCTAGTAGCCAGAACGTCGTACTTGGCCTACTATGCAAGGCCCGATTTGCCTAATAAGCCAAGTTTTTCTGAATTTATATTTTCTAATTTTTTCTTATGAAATGATAAATCTGTCCATTTCATTATGTATAAGTTAATATGTTTAAAATTGAGTTAAAACTAACATAGATATATGACCGAACCTAACCAACCCAACCTAAACTATCACAACTAAGTTAATAAATTATGGTCTTAATATAATAATAATAATTCAAATAAACTAAATGGAAACAATTTATTGAAAATTAAGAAAATCACTCTGCCTATTAGGCAAATCGGGCCTTGCATAGTAGGCCGAGAAGTGCGTTCTGGCTACTAGGTACGACATATATATATATATATATATATATATGTATATCTTTGTGTGTGTGTGTGTGTGTGTGTGTGTGTGTGTGTGTGTGATAGCGCATGACAAGTTTCCTGTGTTTACAGACGGCTGTGAGCCGTGACTCACGGGAATGTTTCGTTACTCACAAGTGCAGTGCTTCCAGGATTGTCAGGTGATGTGTCATCATGTACAAGCCATCCTTGATGTCTGCAAGTGTTAATACCATCCTTATCATTCATAATATGCTCAGCTTCCTCACATGTTTTTTCACCCAGAGAGTTATAAACACATGGAACCGCCTACCCACCGATGACGTAAATGCCAAGACATTACCGCAGCTTAAAAGCCATCTGGAAAAATCCTTAGGAGCAACTGGGAATATTTGAGAAGCCGCCGGCTTCCTGTTCAAATCAAGGCCACTAGAGATGCTGACCCTCAGGAATCCTAACACGAATCTTTTCAATATTTTTTTTTCACTGTCGAGAGAAGTGGAAAATTAACTCTCCAAAGTTTATTTTCACAATTTATTGTGGTCTGACGCCTAGGGATGCGTTTCGCAAGGTACTCCTTACATTTTCAAATACTAATTTACAATGCATTTGGAAAGGCTTGTATTCGCTTTGGTTGAGATGACGTGAGTGAAGTGAACAAGTGGATGAATGGCTTAATAGGGTAATACATGCCTCAACATAACCAGTTTATGTTCTTGCTGCTCCTGTCTCTGTATTGGCTCGGGGTCTTGAAGTAGGTAGAATGTAGTTATGTGTTAACTGGTTGTTGATGGCTGGTCTGGACTTTTTAATGTGTAGCGCCTCGCTGATGTCGAGTCTTCTGTTGTTGTTATACCTGTCGATTATTTCAGCGTTGCTTGTTAAGATGTCTCTGGTGATGGTCTGGTTGTATGAGGAGTTTATATGTTCCTTGATGGAGCCCTGTTGTTTGTGCATTGTTAATCCCCGAGAGGGAGACGTTGTTGTCTTGCCTATATACTAAGATCTTTGTGGCAGACAGTCCCCAAGTGGGCATGTGAAGGCATAGACGACGTTAGTCTCTTAAGGCATTTTGCTTAGTGTCTGGAGAGTTCTTCATAAGCAAGTTGGCAGTCTTCTTGTTTTTGTAGTAAATTGTATCTTCAGGACTCTTTCCTCTGTTTTATGAGCCGTGGAAAAGAATTTCCTGTAATACAGTCTAACAGGAGGTACAGGTGTTGTGTTAGTAGATTCTTCAGAGGTTGCATGGCGTGTTAACTTTCTTTTAATGATTTCTTCAACATAACCGTTAGAAAAGCCATTATTGACTAGGACCTGCCTTACTCCACGGAGTTCCTCGTCGACATGCTTCCAACCAGAGCTGTGAGTGAAAGCTCAGTCGACGTAAGCGTTGACAACACTCCTCTTGTACCTGTCTGGGCAGTCACTATTGGCATTAAGGCACATTCCTATGTTCGTTTCTTTAGTGTAGACTGCAGTGTGGAAGCCACCATTCGTTTCTGTGACTGTTACATCTAGAAAGGGCAGCTTCCCATCACTCCATCTCGTAAGTGAACTTAATATCAAGTTTTGCTGGGATGCTTCCTTTAACTGCTGCAGACGTCTGACATCAGGTACCTGCATAAAAATGTCGTCAACATGCCTGCAGTATATGACAGGTTTTAAGTCCGTGTCAACTAAGACCCTCTGCTCTATGGTACCCATGCAAAAATTCGCGAACAGGACACCTAGGGGAGAACCCATGGCGATCCCATCAACTTGTTTATAAATGTGCCCATCGGGACTGAAGAAGGGTGCCTCATTAGTGCAAGCTTCGAGTACCTTGCTCAGTATGCTCTGGTAAGTCTAGAGGGGTACGAGCCGGATCACGGTGAAGGACAGAATGTATCGTGATCCGGCTCGTACCCCGCTGCACATCAAAAAGTCAAAGCCAGTCATCAACAACCAGTTAACACATAATTACATTCTACCCACTTTGAAGACCTCGAGCCAACACAGAGACAGGATCCGCAAGAACATAATCTTGAAGCCAGTGATAACAAGCTCAGACCACTAAGGTCGCAGGTAATGGTAGCTTGAGGTTCCGCCAGGGTGTGTAGTCAGGCTCCGGCTCCTCCTTAACATTGAACACTTTACATGTTGAAAGCCTTCAACGCTTTCTTCGCTCATCAATAATCTATGAAGAATATTTCCTAGTAAATATTCTCTAAGACCATTTTTTATATTTTGTTTTGTTTCTAATTATGTTGAGCACTTGAATGTTGATGCATTATATATATATATATATATATATATATATATATACTCCCTTCCCTATTAATAATATATATATATATATATATATATATATATATATATATATATATATATATATCCAAGAGTATGCTCACGATTATCTTCCATTCTTCAGTTCACATAGTGAAACATGTGTAATAACATGTTCTTCCTCTCAAAATGTGTATATCTGCCGTTGCTATTGGTAGAGAAGTGCGTCGTCAGATATTAACATAATTATTGTTGTCTTAACAGCATCTCACTTCTATACCTCTACAGATCAGTGCATCAGATCGACTGTCGCCTCCACCACTTGGTACACGCAACATACCCGGCGCGGCTCAAGTCTACCACTGACCCGGACGCTGGTGGGCCTTATATCCACGGTATGTCCACCATTACCTTCCATTATTTATAACTCCCTAAGAGAATGGATCTTTGGAGCTCTCCCACCCCCTCTCCCGAAATATATTTTATTTTACAACGTTTTAGTAAGAGGTCAGGAATGTTGTGTGAGACCTCCCAGCCTCGCCTCACTGCTCCAACCTCCGGCCAGCCCCACCACGCCGCCCCTGAGCCACGCTCTCATACACCTCATAGTCAGCTGAGTCTTACCACTTCTCGGCCTTATGTTGCCTTCACTATCTGTCACGTCACACATTGTTGTTCCTGCCCCTCCCTCTCCCTCCTGCATCCCCCTCTCTCTTCACCACCTTCCTCTTTCTGTCCGTTTGTCTCACTTACAAGATTCTCTTTCGGTTCGTATTACCAATGTTTCTCCTCGAATTGTTTCGTTCTTGCCCGCGTTGAGGGTCCCCCCCCCTTCCCAAATTTTGTACTTCACTGACCCGCATCACTAAAGCTTTTACCCCTCCTACAGTTCTGAAATGCCTTTTCCTTGAACACTTTTCTTCACACTTCCACTCCGTTTCCATCTTCCATCTTTCCATAACACACCGAGAAGTGTTAACAGGTCTATTCAGTTGAGCACGCAGGAGTAATCTGAACTGTAGTGGGCTAGGTAGCCCTATATATACACGATGACGGCTGTGCAGATGGCGCTGGTTCCTTCTTTAACTATTAACCGGCTCTTAAACTGCTTGTTTCGGATGGCGTGAGCTCCCAGCGACCCAGGTGCGAGGTGGGGTGACGGGCAGTGGGGTAGGTAGACTGGTGGTATTGTCTAGACGTCTGGAAAATAGTTGTTGTTGTTGTGGCTACAGTTCTTGAATATATATAGACATTATATGATAGAATAGGTGAGGATGGAGCAGGCCGAACCTCTTCGTAGAGATTTTACTGTGAAAACATCCTTAGTGATATTTAGCGCCCTCTGATTACTCTACACACTTGGTGGTGCTACATAGCCTTCCTGGTTTGGTGCCTTCTTTTGATAACTACTTACTTGATCTGTAAGCCCGAGGCTCTCAAGAAAACATCGGCAGAACAGTTCCAGTCACCTTAGGAGCGGTTAAGGCAA